GGCAGAACCAAAACTGACGCAGATTGAGGAGTGAATGGGACATGGCCAGTGGCCATAGGTGATGGGGAAAAGTCCTATGTGACCACAATAGCCTATGTAGATGCTTGTTAAAATTAGCAAGGTGATTACATTTGGTCACAGACTTTTCAACAAGAAGCTGGGAACTAAACAAAAACCTAGCTTGGTTGTGTATTTACATCCGATCAGAATCACATGATGGCTAAATTGATACAATACATGAAAGAGGTACAAATATTACTGGGTTCTCGCTGTAACTGGTGTATAAAACCTGCAAACACTGTGGGTAAAGTGAAGCACCACCATCTTGCTGAATGCATCCCAGAAAATCCTATAGGACCAAACAGAAAAGGAGAAAATCAGAGTTCTTAAGCAAGATTTAAGGGTCTCTTACCTTAAGGAATCCACTCCTCTGGCTTGTTGGTCTTTCTAGGGATTCTTAGAGGGAACAATGCTACCATCTTCCTGGACTGTGGTTTAGCAATAGGGCCCAGTCCTTCAAAACAATGTACTCCTGTTAGCCAATGATTCCTTCCTGCTCGCCAACATGGACTGTATTCTTCTGGGAGAAGGTAGTTGAAGGATTCTTTAGCTAAACCATTTCTCCCCCACCTCTACTGGTTCTCACAGTCCTACAAAAGGAAACAGGAACTCTCAGAAACAAGAAGATTCAGAAGGTAAACCAAAAGCTTCCTTATCATTAACTTTATCTAATTAGATAGAATAAATAAATAACTATGTACTTAATAGATTAGCCAGCAGAGGCTTAAAATCTCAGGATACCAATCCAAAAAAGCTTTAGCTCTAAGATGTGGCCCATGAAACTTAAGAACCATGAAAAAGTAACCAAAGCTTTTATAAGTCTTATTCTTTAACTATACATAAATTTAATTTCAGATGTATCATAGACATAAACATAAAAGATAAAATTATAAAGTTTGTAGAAGATAGCATAACGTATATATTCACAACTCGGGGGCAGGAAAAAAATTTTAGAAAGGATATGTGAGATTGAGCACAGTGGCTCATGCCTGTAATCACAACACTTTGGGAGGGATAATTGTTTAAATCCAGGAGTTCAAGACCAGCCTGGGCCACATAGTGAAACCCTGTTTCTATAAAAAATAAAATTAGTTGGGCATGGTGGTGTGTGCCTGTAATACCAGCTACTTGGGAGTCTGAGGTAGGAGGATCACTTGAGCCAGGGAGGTCAAGGCTGCAGTGAGCCAAAATCGCGCCACTGTACTCCAGCCTGGGTGATAGAGTGAGACTCTGTTGGAAAAAAAAAGAAAGAAATAATATGTGAAACGATAGCAATTTAAATAATTGACAAATTACACTTTATCAAAATTTAAAACTTCTATTTATTAAAATACACATTAAAAGAAAATTAATAGACAAGCCATAGACTGGAGGTAATATTTATGAAACATATGTCTGACAGAGGACTTGAATCCAAAATAGACAAAGAACTCCTACAACTCAATAACAAACAAGACAAACTATTGTAATTTTAAATGAGCAAAAAGTCTTAATCTGTAATAATTGTCTGTCTGCTTCACTGATACAAACAGTTTCAATTTAGTGGAGTAAATAGCTTTTTTTTTTTTTTTTAAATGAAGTGGGAAGAGTTGATTTAAACAAACCTGACTAAGCACCACCTGGTGGCAGAGATTTTGAATTGCAGCTTGAGTTTTTGTGGGATATTTTTTAAAGGTAAAGTTTGAAGAGTGAATCTGCAGAAATAGACTTGAAAACAGTAAGAAATTCTAATAAAATGACAGCCAAATTAAATTTTACCACAGTAAAACTGAAACAAAAGAGCAAAGTCAATTCATCTATGCACTGAAATATCTATTGATATTATAAGATAATGATATAACATAATATCCAGCCAAATATTTATTTGGTAGAATTTTAATTGAATATTAATACAATACATATAAGTTGGCTATTTGTGTGCCATGTATTTAACATGTAGTATTGCATTTAATCTTCCTAAGAACTCTGTAAAGTACAGGACCACTCCATAGAATATTTCCATGGTTAAAATTTCCCAGTAGAATATATCTTTATTTTTAATAACCACACCTCATAGAACATATTTATCTCTCAGTACAACATTTTTCTGAGTCCCCTCCCAAAGGTGAAAAAGGATTGAGAAAACTATGGAAAAACAAGTAAAGTCAGTAAGAAAAATGTTTACAATGGAAGAGAAAGTATTACTTAACAGAAAGAAACTTTTTGTTAATAACTATATTAGTTATGATCAAAAAGTAATACTATTTATTTATTTATTTATTTATTTATTTATTTATTGAGACAAGAGCCTCACTCTGTCACCCAGACTGGAGTGCAATGGCACAATCTCAGCTCACTGCAACCTCCGCCCCCCGGGTTCAGGTGATTCTCCCACCTCAGCCTCCCGAGTAGCTGGGTTTGCAGGCATCCATCATCACGCCCAGCTAATTTTTGTATTTTTGTAGAAATGGGGTTTCACCATGTTGGCCAGGTTGGTCTTGAACTCCTGACCTCAGGTGATCCACCCGCCTCAGCCTCCCACAGAAAGTAACATTTTAAGTAACTATAACATAACAGTATTTTTTGTTTTATATATACCTATGAATTTTACTGTGCTTTAGTTGAGTTTTAAGAAGTTGCTGCAGATCTTATAACGCACTGTAATTTTTTTCCAATTAAAAATAATTAAAAGTAGGTTCCCTGTTAGTGTTTTCAGGAGGAGCCTCTACGTTAAGCAGTAGATGCCTGTGTAGTATTATGCTATACCACCTTATATATGAGACCCAAAGAGATTAAACCATTTGCCCAAGCTCCCAGGGCTCGGAAGTGGAGGCGTGGCAGCCTGACTCTGAAGGCTGTGTTCTAACCACCCTGAGACACTGCTTCTATTGTGGCTTTGCTTGTATCACACAAATGGTATGTGCCATAGGTCAGTGCTTCTCAAAGTTCTTGGTCAATAGGTTATTAGGTTGAATGTTACCAGTTTGATGTTACCTAAAAGGGAGTTCTGTGGCTAATTAGATTTGGGAAATACTAAGTTTAATGAAATAAAGCATGTTACTTTACTTTTTGCAGCCAAATGTGCACTGTGATTCTCTAAGGTTGGTAGATGAAGAAGGCGTTAGCATTTCCCAGACTTATTTGTATGAGATTTGTATAGATTAAGAATGTAGGCTGGACGCGAAGGCTCATGCCTGTAATCCCAGCACTTTGGGAGGCTGAGGCGAGAGGATAGCTTGAACCCAGGAGTTTCAGACCAGCCTGGAAAACATGATGAGACCCCTGTCTCTACAAAACAATACAAAAATTAGTTGAGCATAGTGGTATATGCCTGTGGTCGCAGCTACTTGGGATGCCGAGGTGAGAGAATCACTTGAGCCCAGGAAGTCAAGGCTTCAGTGAGCTGTGATCACACTACTGCATTCTAGCGTGTGCAATAGAGTGAGACCTGTCTCAAAAACAAAACAACAACAAAAAATGTGTCTGGCAGCATAAAACATATAACATACATATGCTATTTATGTATGAGTGTCCATATGTCTGTAAATATGCCTTATGAAATACCACCAATGTGCATTTATTTGACTCACACAACAAGACGTCTGGGGCAGGGGAGCCCAGGGTCAGGCTCCTTTCTCTTTTCCTTTCTGTTCTGTTCACAGCAAGCTGGCATTCACTGCCATGCTTGTCACTTCATACACACCAGATTTTGCTGCACCTCCAGGCTTTACAGCTGTATTCCACAAAGGAAGAAAAAAGAAACAAGCAGTGCCAGCACTCCCACTTATAATTCATTGACCAACACAGTGGCATAAAGGCCACCCTATAGGACCACCCCCAGCTGCAGGGAGCCTGTGAATTAGGGTTTTTACTTTTAAGCCTCTGTATCAGTGAGTTCTGATGTAGATAAATTGCAAAAGTTGATTCTCACTCACATGATATGTCATCAGCTGCAGGTTGGCTGCAGTTCTGCTCAGTATGTCTTCTTTATTTGGGGGCTCAGACTGAAGGATCAGCCCCTCTCAGGCCATGCCCTTCTCATGGCGGAGGGAAAAAGGAGGTGGCAGAACCATGTGATTGCTGTTGAAGACACACTCAAAAGTGGCATTTGTTACTTTCCCCACATCCCATTGGCCAAAAGAAGTCACATGCCAATGCGGATGTAAACAGGGCAAGGAAGCACAATCCTCTTACAAAAGGGGTCACAGATATGTATATCAATATAATCTTTCCTAATATAATAAAAGCAGGCAAATGAGAATAGATGAGGAAATGGAAGTTGAATCATCAACCTGGTTGCTACAGATCACACACACGTGCTCTAGCTTTTCATTTGCTTTTAGAGCATTTCACAGGACAAGTATTCACATCCTTTGGGAACTATAGTTTTGAGCCACATCAAGTCTTGTGTTTTTTTTTGTTTTTTTGTTTTTTGTTTTTTGTTTTTTTTGATAGGGTCTTACTCTATCGCCCAGGCTGGAGTGCGGTGGCATGATCTCAGCTCACTGCAGCCTCGACCTCCTGGGCTCAGGTGATCATCCCATCTCAGCCTCCATGAATAGCTGGGACTATGGGCACACACCACCATGCCCAGCTAGTTTTTGGATTTTTTGTAGAGATAAGCTTTCGCCATGTTTCCCAGGCTGGTCTCAAACTCCTGGACTCAAGTGATCTGCCCATCTCGCCCTCCCAAAGTGCTGGGATTACAGGCATGAAGCACTGCACCTGGCCATTGTCCTTTTCATAAAATAACTATCTATAGAAAAATTCCAGTATAAAATATTCTTTAATATGTGAATTATGTCAGAGAATATTATTAGACAGGTTGTATCTTGCCATACGTTAAAATCCACCTTTAAATCAAGGTGATATACATGAGCAAAGCTTATTTTTAAGCCAGGAGAATTTCAGAAAATGCAGTCATGTATAGTTATTAAAATTATTTTTTTCTTCTGAATCAGGTGCTATCATATCATGCAACATGTTCAAAAGCTGAAGTTGACAAGTTTAAGGTAAGGAAGAAGATGGTTTCCTTATTGGTGCTTACAGTTAAACTTCTCTTGGCTTCCTGAGCTCTGTCATTTGCCTCTAGAGAATTAATCCTGCTCATTGGGAGCTGGAGGACTAGCACTGGGCAAAGGTGTATTTGTATATTTCTGTTTTAGAGGGGAAGAGGGACTTATATATAACTGAGTAGTCATTTTGTAATCATTTACATGATTCAGTATTTCTTCCCATTTATTAAGAAAACACAATATCAGGGGAAAAAATCTGTAATATGGTGAGAGTCAGGACACCTGGTTTTGGCATCGGTTTTACCTCTAAGTTGCTGTTCAGTTAAAAACTTAGGGCTGTATTTCCATCTGTAAAAATGTATGACCAGATTGAGGTAATAATAGCTAACACTGTGTGCCAGACGCACTACCAGGCATTTTACCTGCATTAATTCGTTTAATCCTCACAATCCTGTGAAAAGCAAACTGTTTTACAGATGAATAAATGGAAGCACGGAGATGCCAGGCCACGGTCAAACAATTGTAAGAGGTGTAGCAATCTGGCCCCAGAACTGGAGTTCTTAACCACCGTGCTTCCCTACCGCACAGGGTGATCCCCTTTCAACTCCAACATCTGATGAGTCTATGAATGAGTGTTAGATATTCCTTATCACCTTAGTTACTACCATTTCCTTAAGTGCAATTCAGAATTCTTGCTTGTGTCCCTGCACTCCTACCAGGCAGTTTAACAATGAGCAAAACACTGGAGTAAAGGGAAATTGATTTCCTTTCCTTTTGAAAGTTTTGGTGCCTGTCTTTTTACATATAGGTGGCGGTTCAGAAAATTATCAGGAAAAGCTACCACAGTCATGAGAAAGATCATGTTTTGTATTGCAATATTAGAATGTAATATCACTTGGTGATGGCTATTTTTCTAAGAGTCCCATTTGCATATATATGGTGCAGAGACCATTGGGCCTAAGAATTGAATCAGATCATTAGAACTGAGCACATGAATGATGAAAGGGAGCAAAGGAAGTTGTTTGTTCCAAACACTGAGCGTAGGGATAAAAGAACTCCTTGCAAGGGCCAGAAGCAGCACATATACTGTGAGCATAGGAACTACTTGGGCTCCATCCAAGGATAGGGTCTATTATTGACTTAGAGAGATGCTTTGGGGAAAGACCTACAATTGTAACACAGATAAAAAGGGAGAGATAAGGTGACAGCTGACAGCAGAGGGAGGAGACAGAACAACTAAAACCACAGCAGTCAGGGCCCATTTGTTGCAGAGGAAACCATCCTGCATACCAGCTTGAACTCAAGCTCCATCAGGACAGCACTAATTGTATGTTTTATTCACTGCTGTATCTCTCCTTCCTTTTATGGTCCTTGGGATATAGTAACACTCAATAAATACTTGTTGAATGGATGAATGAATGGATGGATAAGCGAATGAATAAATAAATCCAAAGAGTACCAATGGTTCTAGTACTCAAAGCAATTAGTCATTAATTTTAAAATAGTGATAATATATAATTATTTTATATATTTCATATAAATTTTACTTAATGTATATAAATTTTATAAATATTTCCATCAAAAATATTTAAACCTTTTTTATTTTAGCCAATAAAGTTCAATTATTCAGAAATCCTGTTTATGAAAATATCCAATTCCTGCTAAAATGCTCATATAATGTTTATATTATATTTTTGCTGTTATTATAATTATCATCATTGCTAAAAGAGGGAAGTGGTAGGCAAGAAGAAAGACAGCAAAGATGATAATCTGAGCTTTGACTCATATGACCAAATATGACTGCAAGAGCTGCCCAGAGATATAGCAGGCCAAAATCCATAGTCGTTTACTTTTTTTTTCTTTTGAGACAGAGTCTGGCTCTCTGTCACCCAGTCTGGAGTACAGTGGCACAACCTCGGTTCACTGCAACCTCTACCTCCTGGGTTCAACTGATTCTCCTGCTGCAGCCTCCCAAGTAGCAGGGATTACAGGCACATATCACCATGCCCTGCTAATTTTTGTATTTTTAGTAGAGACGGGGTTTCACCATGTTGGTCAGGTTGGTCTCGAATTCCTGACCTTGTGATCTGCCTCCCAAAGTGCTGGGATTACAGGTGTGAGCCACTGCGCCCAGCCTAGCTGTTTACTTTCTAAAGGCACCAACATTCAGGCTTAATATTTTGCTTAAAGAAAACATTGCCCTGGAATTTGGTATGCATTTCTATTGTTAGCTCACAAATATACTAAATATGAAGTATTTAAATTTGAGAAAAAAGGGTTATTTCATCTTAAAATTATCAAGATTGAGAATTTAACTGATTTACTCTAGATTTTATCATGAAAGATATTAGCTAGTATCCTATTACAATGTAATTGAGATATAATAGATCATTTTAACCATTTTAAAATGGGAGTTTTCTTGATATATACAGTAAATAAAACATTATTCTAATTGGTAGTTGATGTCTGTTATAACTGCAGCAATAACATTAAAATGTAGTGGGCTTAAAATAATCCTGCACGTAGACAGTGAAAAGCGTTTACTGAGATTCCAGGCTGGAATACATGCAATGGCAGTTTTCTAACATTGTAGCTAAATAACAGTAAATATGTGCTTTGTTTTGACCAATATATATGACAAACCATGTTTACGTTCAAGTATATTGTCATTCTTCCTGTCTTCAGTACTTTTTAAACAAAGATGATTGTAAAAAAATTTTTTTTTAATGTGCAATGATTTGAAGTCTGGAATCAGAGTTACCCATGAGATTTCATGAGTTAAAGCAGGGGTCCTCAACCCAGGCCATGGACTGGTACTAGGCCACACAGAAGGAGGTGAGCAGCAGGTGTGCAAGCATTACCACCTGAGCTCCACCTCCTGTCAGATCATCAGTGGCATTAGATTCTCATAGGAGCGCAAACTCTATTGTGAACTGCGCATGTGAGGGATCTACGTTGTGTGCTCCTTATGAGAATCTAATGCCTGATGATATGAGGTAGAACAGTTTTATTCCAAAACCATCCCCACACCCCCACTCCTCCCAGGTCCATGGAAAAATTGTCTTCCATGAAACTGGTCCCTGGTGCCAAATAGGATGAGGACCACTGAGTTAAAGGATGGCTGAGTCCCAATGTATTGGACTATACCCAACCAGATTAGTGATCAGTGATTCAGAGCTTAAGCCAGAGTTTGGGAAGAAACTGATTCATCCAGCGCTGACAAAAATCTGGAGGTCAAATTTTACACACGTACGTATGACAGACTTCAGTTGGAACCCAAGCTGCACCACATCTGGGATGCAGAAATGTCTGGGAGACAAGTGAGTTGTAGTTATTTATATGAGAGACTAACAGGCCTTCTGAGTCAAGAACTCTTCCTCATGAAAGTTAAGGCCACAGACCTCAGTGTCTAGATGATTCCAAGTTCAGCATGAAGTTTTTACCTTGGATTTATCCCTCACCTCAGCCTCCCATGGATCCATGTTCTTAGCTGAGAATGTGAGTAAACACAGAAGGCATGGACTTTGGTATAGTTTCAGTGCATTAAATGCTCCTGATAGAATGAGGGTCAGCATGCCAACAGCACACAACAGAAGGCAGCAGCTTAATGAAGGAAGCATCACTACGGACCCGTGGCAGGGCCCCTTCCTACCTGTGTGACCAGCAGAAGCTGATGGCATCGATGGAATCAATGCAGGCTCAGTGGTCACATTTTAAGGACAGGTAAGGTATACCCTGAGTACTCCCAAATATAAGTAGGAGAGATGGAGACTCTGTACTATTGGAGAATGTGATATATACACGATTAATTACTCTTAGTTTGGTACCATTTGTACTCAGAGATTGTGGGGTCTACAGGAAGATTGATTTCACATAAGACAAACCTGTAGTGAATCTTTAATAATCATTAATGCTAGGCTGATGCCATCTTAGCCTTCCTCATATCTGGTCTTCCTATTTCACACCCTATTTCACACCCCTTTATGTTTTGGGATTTTCTCCCCCTATTCTAGAATGCCTTGTTAGGGGGAGCATTGTTGTTCTGTTTTATTCTGATAACCCTATTACTTCTGTTGGGAAAAATTTCCTTGAGGAGTGTGTAGTAGTGATGGCTGAGAGAATGGGATTAGAGTGTGAAAACCTTTCTAGAAGTGTCCTTGGACTGTCCAGCAAGAATAAATTAGATAAAACAACATATAATTACTCATCCAAGAATGTCAGAATTTGGGTTTATTTTTCCTGATTCTGATATATCATTTATACTTCAAGAAAGTCTTTCTTGTAGGTTCACCTATACACAAAAAGGTCACAGAACTTCCTGGAACTAATGAATTAACCATTTTGAAAGTCTGATTCAATAAATTATCCTTTATGGGTTGATTGTCCTGTGCATCTAATGAGGAAACCAGAATCTAAAAAATGGTTTTTAATCCTCATTAACATTTACTGATCTTCCATGAACTTGAAATAAGAAAGTTATATGCAGAAAATTTGTGCAGATTTTAGTGAATGTTTATATCTCTGCAGCTCTGTGCTAACAGGAATAATGTATAAAGACCATATTGACAATTACATCTCCTTGAAGATGGCTGGTTTAAAGGCTTTCAATAACCTAAAGATGCCAGCTGTGATAACATAAGAAAATGAGTTTAGTACCCCAATTATATGCTCCCGTAATTTTATGGACTTTCCTTAGATTCCAATGCGGTGGACAGACCAAACAATTATCACTATATATTGCTAGTTTACCAATTAAAATCAACTCATGGACGTTGTGGTGTTATATTGCCACCTTGTATCATCCCTTCCTTCAATTGAGAACTGCATGGGTTACGGCTGCAATCAGAGATGAACTCATTTACAGCACTATAACTGCCTCAGTAATTAAGCACCAATAACTCAGGTTGGGGTTTGGGTTTGGACTACCTCATACGTATTTCAAGTTTTCAATGTTAATGCCTAGGCCACAAATTAATATCCTGGTAAATAAAATAAAA